ACTAATGCTTTAAAACACGTCCTGTAGAATATGTTTGGAAGTATTGCTCTTTTCCCACCCTTATATTTCATCCAGCAGCTTTAATCTGACAGCCCCCCCCCCCCAGTGGATTCTGACTTCAGAGTGTGCCGCCTTTTCAGCAGCCGGCACGCTTCCATCCCTGTCCGCAGAATTCCGTCCGAGGGGTGTGAGCTGCAAGACTCCTGAGGCTACATGATGCCATCACGGGAAATCTTTTCCCAAACTGTAAAAACCCACTTACTATTCTTGATCTTCACTAACAACTATTAATATTTTTGGTGATCTTTGAAATGTTTTTGACATATCCAACTCTGAATTGTTAGGTCACATCTCCCAAATAATGAGTAACCCAGTATTACAAGGGGGGGCAAAACCCCCACAATTTACTTATCCAAAATGTGTATGTATTCTTTTTTTAAATATATTTTATTAATTATGCCATTACAGTTGTTCTATTTCCCCCCTTCATTCCCCTCCACCCTGTACACCCCCTCCCCCACCATCCCCCCTTTAGTTTATGACCATGTGTCTCAAGTTCTTTAGATTCTATATTTCCCATAGTATTCTTGCCCTCCCCCTATCTATTTTCTATCTACTATCTATGCTACTTATTTTCTGTACCTTCTCCCCCCTTCTCCTCCCTTTCCCCTGTTGCTAACCCTCCATATGATCTTCATTTCTATGGTTCTGCTCCTGAACTAGCTGTCCTTTTAGTTTGCTTTTGTTTTAGGTGTGGTTGTTAATAACTGTGAGTTTGCTGTCCTTTCACTGTTCATCTTTTTTATCTTCTTTTTCTTAGGTAAGTCCCTTTAACATTTCATATAATACGGGATTGGTGATGATGAACTTCTTGAATTTGACCTTATCTGAGAAGCACTTTATCTGTCCTTACATTCTAAATGAAAGCTTGGCTGGATAGAGCAATCTTGGATATAGGTCCTTGCATTTCATGACTTGGAATACTTCTTTCCAGCCCCTTCTTGCCTGTAGGGTCTCTTTTGAGAAATCCACTGACAGTCTGATGGGAACTCCTTTGTAGGTGACTGTCCTCTTATCTCTTGCTGCTTCTAGGATTCTCTCCTTCATTTTAATCTTGGCTAATGTAATGATGATGTGCCTTGGAGTGTTTCTTCTGGGGTCCAACTTCTTTGAGACTCTCTGAGCTTCCTGGATTTCCTGGAAGTCTATTTCCTTTGCCAGATTGGGGAAATTCTCCTTTACTATTTGTTCAAATAAGGTTTCCACTGGTGGCTGTTCCTTTCCCCCTTCTGGTACCCCTATAATTCGGATGTTGGAGCGTTTAAAGATGTCCTGGAGGCTCCTAAGTCTCTCCTCATTTTTTTGAATTCTTGTTTCTTCATATTTTCCTGTTTGGCCATTATTTTCTTCCTTCTGGTTCACTCCCTTGATTTGAGACCCAGTTTCCTCTTCATCACTATTGGTTTCCTGTGCAATTCCCTTCATTTCAATTAGTTTAACCTTCCTATGTTCCTCTAATTTGTGACTATAATCAACCAGTTCTGTGAGCATCCTGATCCCCAGTGTTTTGAACTGTGCATCTGAAAGTTTGGCTATTTCTTTGTCGCTTAGATTTATGGGCTCTGGGACTTTGAGATCTTCTTGAGTCATTTTTGGTCTGTTTGTGCCCGTTAATTATGAGGAGCGGAGCCTTAGATGTTTACCAGGGTGGGGCCTCCGAGGTTGCTGGGTTGTGAGGCTGTATGTGGGGGCGGGGTCAGAGTGGGGAAACGGAGGCCTCCTCTGCTGCCTCAGGCCACTGGGGTCTGCTCGGTCCCTCGGCTCACCGCCCACTCCCTCGCTGGTCTATCTGCTCACGAATGTGGGACCACAGTCAACCTGCCACCCTGCACCCTCTCTGGGTACGCCAGTTGCTAGCTGGGTCGCTCACTGGGTCTGCACGTTGCAACCCTGCGCCTGGAATCCATGCGCCAGAGTCTGTCTGACCGAGTTTCCCTGTGCAACCCTACTCTGCCAGCTGCTGGCTTCGCCCCTCTTACTTGTCAGGCTGAAGAATTTGTTGTTATCAGACTTCCAAAAAGTTCAATTTTCTGTGTTCTGGCTTGTGTTTTCTGTTGCTAATATTTTGTTGTCTCTCAACTTGGTTGTGGGAGAAAGCAAGGCGTCTCCACCTATGCCTCCATCTTGGCGGAAGTCTCGTATGTATTCTTGTATGTTTAAACTTCAGTCACCTTCAAAGTGCTCTCCATTTGATGCAACACACCCATCGAGACATTTTTTCCCACTGCTCAAAACAGTTTTTGAACTCATCAGTTTTGATGCCTTTTAGTACTTCTGCCTTTTTTTTAGTTTCACCACTTCCACATCACCAAAATGTTTCCCTTTGAGCACTGTTTTCATGGGGGGGGGGGTGGAACAGCAAAATGTTGCTCAAGGCAAGATCGGGTGAATGGGGAAGGTGGGGCCTTAGGGTCATGCTGGTTTTGGTCAAAAACTGCTGAACACTCAGAGCAGTGTGAGCAGGTGAGCTTGTAAATCATCCATCATGAAATGGGCAAATGCACTGAAAGAATCTTCAAAAACATTCACTGAAGCTGAACAAAGCTTCTCACAACAACTCCAGCTGATGCACTGTGATACAGATGGGCTCTTAGAATAGTGAGGTAGTGGGGGAACTCTGTACTACAAGGGGCCCGCTTTCTAGAAGATAATTACGGTTTTGGGGGAGTCCCCCCTCATCTGTTAAATTCCTTTGTTTCCTTTTTTTAAGCCAGTGTACCAGACTCACTGTTAAAACCGTCCCAAACTCTCATCAGTAGATGCTGTTTCAGGTTAATCCAACTTCCCTAAAGAGCACTTTGTTCAAAATAAAGTAATTGAGAGGGTGCCTGGTGTTATGGGAAATTTTATAAGGATTTTAGTACAAAGTGCTTCTTTTTCTCAGAGATTTTGAGGAAATAAAAATCTCACCTTGCATTCATCTGTATCTTATAGCTTTAACCAAAAGAGAGGAGATTTGTATAAATCTCCTTTGTGTTCTTTTGCAGAGTAATTATTGAATATGGAAGCTTTTGTCCACCAATAAAAATATCTTAAAAATACAGTAGGATTGTAATGCATTTATCTCATATAGAAACACTGAAAATATAGGTTCATAAAGCCTGCTCCTTTGAAAACACACTGGAATCTTTTAAGAACTACAGCTTCTACCCCATTAAAATTCTTCCTAACCCCAAATCACATCTACTTTTACTTTAACACAAGACAAATAAACAAAACACTAGCAGGAAATATTTCAAATAGATACTCTCTTGGGAATCCATAGCCAAAATTTTTGGAATTCAAAATGAAAAACTTAGAGAACTGAGTGACTAAATTTCCTTCCCTGTAGTGTTGATCCCTCATTAAGATATATTATGTTATATTGTTTCCATTCTTTCCATCTAAGGACTTCCAAGAGAATCAGACTAAAAGAACATACTACAAATGAAGTGGCAGCTATTGGATTGATATGGTTGAGATAGCATACGGCGTACTCTTTACTTTCAAACTGTTTTGAGTCTTTGTTCGTGCCCACAGCAGTGGTGTGTATGAGAACTATCCAAAAACTTCCCCATGGCACATATATTCAGTCCGCATCATCTTAAAAAGGGAAGAGCACTCTGCCATTGCATTCTTCATTATTTGAAGCAAATCAAGCTCAGAGATATAGAGCTTAAAATAGTTACTGAATTCTAATTCTATAAGAATTTACAATTCCATGAGATCAGAAATGCCATTTTAAAATGTTAATCAGAAGATGCATTTGTTTTAATTCTTGATACTGAAAATATTGACTGAATTGTGAATTAACACGTTTAGGGTTGCAGATGTCATTTTTCATGAGATTTCCTGAATGATGTAATTTTCATATTTCATATTGCAGCTTGATCAATTTACAGATTTATTTTACATAATTAGTTGGTAAATGAAAAATTCAATTGCTGATATATAACTATTTCTCTGTAATATAGAAAATAAGTTAAAATTCTGAATTACAAATTAAAAACAAATATTTTGAAGACATCTGGCCCACATCTGTCTGAAATAAGATAATTTAAAACAGTGTAATTAAATACAAGGAATACTAGAATATTCACACCTTAGAATGTAAAAAATAACTCGTTCCATTTTAATGTGATTGCTTGAATTGGTGAATTTTTTTTTATTTTAGTGCCCTTTAGCCTCTCATTCTGTTATTACAAAGACTGACAAGCTAAACAAAAATAATACATGTTTTTCAAAGCCTCCATGAAGTGAAACAATTATATTTAATCTTTTTATAAGGATATTCTTTTTATAAGGAGGCCAGTCAACATATAAAAGAATATGTTGACTGGCCTCCTTATAAAAAGTTAATACTCAGTGGACTTAGACTCAGGCCTACCCCCTTTTGATGTTTTTATACTTCTCCATTCAGTTATTTAAAATGAGAGATTAGTGAGAGTCTGCAGTCTCACTTCCTAAATTGTGCCTTCCTTGTGGGCACAGAGGGGCTCAGTCAATGCCAGGGGAAGGTATTCACCCTCATGGAAACGCAAAGCGACTTTGGTGCCTTCTCATGGTCAGCAGAGAATCATCCTGTGAAGACTGGTCTTTTGTTAAAAACCTGTGTTAAGTGGGAAATTAACCTCTTCCCAGGCAAGGAAACTACACTAGGTTTTCTATAGTTTAACTAAAAAATGTGAAACACATGATCGATTTTTCCCTTAATAAAAGGCTGCGGAGCTTTACCACTTCAATAGGACTGGGTTTTTGATACATGACAGAAAAATAATATTTATGAAAACACTCAGTGCTGATGCTACAGTGAAAGGTGATAGGGAGAAATCTCTACTTGGATGCCAGAGGCTCTCCTAACAATAGACCGTGGAAGGAATTGATACTGTGAGAAGTGAAAACACTTTTCCTCACACGTACCCTAAGGTATCACAAGTTATATTCTGTGTGTTTATTTCCAGGGAGCATGATAAAGATCCGGAGAGTTTTTTTAAGGTATTAATGCATCTTAAGGACTTAGGACTGGATTTCCACGTATCTGTCCTTGGAGAAACCTTCACAGATGTCCCAGGTATGTATTTTGAATTTTTTTCATGTGGGTTTTTATAGATGACATAAGCTCTACAACTGAAGTATTAATGTCCATGTTTTCCTTTGTTAGAATAATCAAGATGAGCATTGTTAACCAAAAGATTATACGATGGCATTAAAGTAGGATTCAATTAAAAAAATACTTAAGTAAGCATTCTTTGATTTAAGTTGAGAACGTGAAGTCATTTCTTTTATCAAATATAGTTCATACACTGCATCTAGATGTAAATACAATATATTGCTTTAGGCATCTTAACACTTAAGGAAAGTGGAAATTTGTAATGGATGTACAACCTCTCACCTCTGGGGTCAGTGGCTTGAATCCTACTCACAGTGGTAATGACTAAAATACATTACCGTCTGTTAGGTGGCCTGTGTAAAGCATTTGGCACCAAACTTGTAATGTAGAGTAGACCACAGTCCATATTATTCTTGTCATTGGCCCATCCCCTTCTATTGAATTTTTAAAAACCAACAAAAATCCCAAGTACTTGTTTTCATATTTTTTAAGCTTTGGATGTTCAGCCTTTTTTGTTAACTCCAAATACACAGACAACAAAAGTTCAGAAATGACCTTTACTGTCATGCATGACAACTCTTAAAAGACCACTTAAAGTTTACCCTCAATCAGCATGTACTTACTTCTTGACCCTGGTTCATTGCTAAGAACTACACCCAGTCTGTACCTCTGTAGCCTCGTCAGATATGGTTCATCCTCTGCCCACTGAGATGATGGACATCTGCTTTTCTTCAGTTCCTTTGAGGCCCCGGGCTTCCTCAGCCCTTTGGACATTTGCCTGTTTGTTTTTATTTTATCCTTTTGATCGTAGCTCAGGGGCATACTCTTTGAAGATATGAAGCCTTATCATGGTCTCATCGCACCCTATACTTTTACTTCAAGGTGCTTGCCCCACTTTCTAATCTTAGAATTATGTGTAATTTTTATCTTATTCCCCTACACACATGCACACACACACTGGGATGTCGGTGCTTCATAGGGTCATGTCTGCCTTGTTCTTTGCTAGACCCCAAAGCCAAGTGCAGTGCCTGGCACAGTTCTGGAGCTCAGTGACTAGTTGTTGGATAAATGGGTAAAAATAATGTAAACTCCCTGCCCCCAAGCGATTTAGTCTTGTTGAAGAGGGAACACTTGTGCATAACACAAGAAACAGAGAGTGAAATGCAAAATAATATAATTATTTATTAGTGCCGGCATATGTTGTTTTGTGTGGAATATTAACTGAATGGCCAAAGGATTAGGATATTCCAAAAGCAGAAACAACACAGGCAAAATATATGGAAGCAAACATTTTAGATATTATATTTAAATGAGAGAACAATGTTAGGGATTAATGCTGTGAGGTCACTAATCTAACTAGACCAAGAGATTCAGCATGCAGACCTGAATAAATAAGTAATATGTACCTTACATAGGTACGATAGGCCCAAGGTATGGAGGATCTTGATAACCAAAGCAGATTAGGTAAAGGTAAAAAATAAGGAGCCCAGATGTGGCTCAGGGAAAAATTTGATGACACTGTATTTTAGGCAAGTTTATCGTGCATCAGTATGTAGACAGAATCACGGGAAGACTCCATGGTGGTCATCCAAGTGTCACGTTGTGAGGCCATGACTGAGAGATTAGTGAGGGTGCTGTGTGAGAGGGAGCTGCTCGAGGCAAACACAGAAGGGAGTTTGATTGGTGTGTGGCTGTAGAGAAAGAAGGGAGGAAAATTCAGCTCATTTGCAGAACCGCTGAGTTTGGTTGTGTCTGTGCCATCCGAGGTGTTGATGCCTGGACCGAAAGGTGACCGCAGGATGGCTCCACAGAAGGCTTCGGAGGCAGCTTTGCTGTTGAGTGGTTTTAGGCCACCACTGCAAAAAAGACTAGGATTTCACTCAAAGGGCCATGTTCTTGGGATCACAGTCTCCCCTCCCATACATTAACATTGAGATGTTTAGAGCAGTATGAAGGGTTGGGGAGCAGTTAGGGCCCCAAGTACTGTGTGCTAAATAATTACAAGCCTGATCTTACTGTATTACTCATGTTGGCTTCACTTCAGCACACACGTACTGAATGAACACTGTGGAAGGGAGATTCCATGGCAAACAGGACTCAGTCTCCACCCGCAGGCCCTCTCTGCCTTGGGGAGATACATATATAAAGAATGGGTACCAAGGATGCTGTGCAAATGCGGAAGCCCGTAGGAGGGGGCGTCATGTTACGCACGCACACGCTTGTGCCTCCTAGCCTCACTGGGGCTCCTTTCTGCCCTAGCCTCTGGTCCATCTGTGCCACTTCAAATGTGAATTGACTCCCTTTATGGGTACAGCTCTTCCCGCTGCACCGTGGGAGGAGCCCAGTGGTGTATGGATGGGTGAGCCTGACGATTTTCCAGGTTGCACTCCCAGGAGCCACCTTGCTGGGCCGTCCTCCAGCATCTTCCTAACAGGCCATCCTTTGTAACTTCTGCCCTTCTTGTCACTGGGCTGGTTCACTTCACAAATGCTTACTGTATTCCAGCCACTGTTCTAGGAATTGTTCTCCATTTTTCTCAGATGGAGAAATCGAGGCACAGAGAAATTGAGTTACATGATACTTTAACCATTATTTTATGTTACCTTTCCATGTTGTTTCCTGACACACAGTTCTCTAAGTTAAAACATAATTTTTCCCCCTAAGTCACCATCCAGCACTTCCCAAACCGGGGTGCCCAGCAAGCATACACTTCTTTGCCTGCTGTGTCTTCTACATTAGCCTATCTGAAACTCATGTCATGAAACCAACTTACATACTGCTCAATATCAGCCAGAAGCATTTCTCTCCACGCTACTAGTGTTTGTAAGGCTGTGGTTCCCTTGTAGATACTTGTTACAATGATCAGTATGCTATGAATTGCTCCTATTTATCGAAAGTTTGTTTCTTACTTGGTCTTTTGTTAGGTTATTTTATGTAATGCTCTGGACAGTCCCAATGGAGTGGGTATTATTTTCCCATCTGTTAGTTTCCCCAGAAACTGAGACTCTGAAAGCTTAAGTCCCATTAATTGCATTGCTTAGGTGAGTCAGACTTTTCTCTTTCACATACAACCATACAAATATTGAACAACCAAGAAGTATATGATGGCAAGACCACTAGTTACTCTTCTTTTCCTTTGTAACTGAGGTAGGATTTACATGTAACATTGTCCAAGTTTCAGGTGTATGGTGGGTCAGTGTGCTACATGCACATGTCACCACAGGACTGCCACGTGGCTGGGACTCGGACCTCTGTCACTTCTTTTCTTTGTGGCAAGAACATTAATGATCTGTTCTCTCAGAAATTTTGAAATCCATAATGCAGTATTGTTGACTAATCACTATTAAATCCCCAGAATTTATTCTTCTAGTTGCAACTTTGCACATTGAGACTCTTTATCCAACAGGTAAAGATAAAGTTCTTCCTTCTGCACAGAACTCTCAGGGAAGCCAGCATGTGTCTGAGCGCTGGCATTGGTGCCGGTGAATTGTCACGCCCTTCCTGGTGAGGCAAACAGTCTCCAATAATTCTTTTGAAAAATGCTAAAACTAATCATAGAGTACCTTTGTAGAGTCTCCGTACTTTTAATTACTTTCAAGTACATTTTAACTATCTTTAAATTATGTTGTGACATCTTTGTAGTCCTTTTTTGAAGAATGACGTACATTAAGAATATTGATTCTAATTTTCAGTTGCATAGTCCATAGCTCTTTGGTATCTTTCTTTCACTTTACAAAAGAGGAGCGAGATCTAGGAGAGTAACTATTCCAGGGTCTCACAGCTGGGAGCCGTGTGGGATGAGGGCAGAAGATGGTGGTAGGTTAGGAGAAGAGCCTGGGAGACGGCCTCCTCATCCCTCCTCATTCCTGTACGTGTTTAATAAATTTTTTTTAATATCTGCTTTGTGTCAAGCACTGAGCTGGACATTTAGGATGAAATGGTGAATAAAGCTGACATGTTCTGTGATGTTTGCAACTTACAGTCACACTCCAGTGCTTTATTCATCACGGACTAGAACACTCCTTTAAAATGTTAGAACTGACATTTATTGAACACTGAACATGTGCCAGGTACTGTTCTAAGCCCTTTATGCTTTGCATCACTTACTCTTCACAACGGCCCCAAGATTTGGGTGCTATTGCGATTACCATTTACAGCTGAGAAAACTAAGGCACAAGACGGTTAAGTCACTTGCCTGAAATCACCCATCCATCCAGTTCTGAAGCCTCAGTGCAAACCTTGTCAGTCTGCCTTCAGTGACATCGCTCAGCCTGTTCTTGGTGTGTAAGTCTTCAAAGTCACCCATGTTTTACAAGTAAGAGAAGAGGAGGTGATATTGGGGAATTCCTGGCCACTCTTGTGAAATCACTTGCAATGGAAAGTTTAAACACACACACACACAAAACTTCAAATTCATTTCCTAAACATCTTGCTCTTTAAATATTAAAGTGAACTCCCTCTTTTATTTTCCATCTGGAATCATCACAAAAAAGGTCTCAAAAACAATACGAAGTGCAAAGTTATCCCAAATAATTCTTGTCATATATTTACTGTTCAGTAAATGTTATTTGAGTGTATGAAAGAATGAGATTGGAGTAGTAGAATAATAAAATTTATATAACATATCAGGTACATAGAAATCTACAATGAAACAATTGGCAAATACTAAATAAACAGGTAGTGAATGGAACTAGAGAACCCTGAGACTCAGGGAAGTTCAAAGTGACTTTATATTCCATTTCCTGTTTTAATACAGGTGACCTTGATTCAACCTAAATCTGTTTTTCAGTCTTTTTCTCATCTGTCAGCTCTTACATCAGTCAGAATAAGCTGAATTGTGCTAACAGGTAACCTGAATGTCTCAGTGGCTGAAAACATGTAGGATTTATTTCTTATTCATGCTGTATGTTTATTTCAGGTGAGCAGTAGTGTTGTGCTCTCATGGCCACTCCAGGGACTTA